TTATACTGCTAATAATTTTATTTTTACAAAGAATATTGTTTATAAAGAAATTTTAATAACAATATTTTATCAAATTTATATAATTAATTATTTATTTTATTAAAATTAATTTTATTTAATTCTTTCTATAAATAATATCAGTATTTAATAATTAAGTATTACCAATAACATGTATTATATAAAATCTTTTCTTTATTATACTATAATTATATATATATATTACATTGTATAATATTAATTGAAGTTACTACATATATTTTATAATGTACTAATACATATAATTAAATAAAACAATTTAACAAATTTTATAGAATTGATAAAACATTAATGAAAATAAGTAACAAAGATCAATAATAAAACCAACATAATTAGAATACTTAAGTTATCCAATTTCTAATAATAGTATAAAAAAAAATTGAGATATATGTAAAAATAATTAGTATTAGTATTATTAGCATTATCTTAAGACCAAAAAATATATATAAGCAATGCAAATTTATCTTTAATAAAATAATCCAACTCAAATTTATCAAAGTGTATTTTTTTTCTTTTTTGAAATAAAATACTTATATACAAACCTGAATTTAGTTTTTGCTATCTTGTAACATTAGTATCATAATCTGCTAAATAAAGAAAAAGAATAAAAACAATATATAGTATATTAAAGTTAAATCTTTATATACCAAAATCATTAAGTAATTAAGTTTTATAATAAGCATTATTATACTTTTATTATATTTAAACTCTATTATATGATATCAATAATAGTCAATAAAATTATAAGTGTAAGATATGTATATAATAAGAATCTTTATATAACGAAAAATCCAAAACTAAACAGAAAAGACTGTTAATAGTACATGTATATCATATCTAATACTATATTATATTTATTATATTTGAATTTAATATAAATAATTTAATTTGTGATTAGTTACAGATAAGTAGGATTTACTTTAAATTAGACATTGTCTTTGCTATTATCTTTGATTTTACTTTTAAAAGCCTCTGCTATATCAAATATTCTCTGTATATTTCACATCATATAACCAAAATTTTATATTAAAACTTAAATGCCAAAAGGTCATTGTAATATAAAATTTCTCATTACAATTTCTTACAACTTCATATTAATATCTTTTCTACTTTTATTTAAATACTATATAATTTTTAATATTAAAATTTATTTTTTCCAAAAAGCATAATTTTGATAAAACCAATAACTAATTAGTGATTATCAATTCCTAAATAAATTAATTCTTTTCTTGATCAGATCCATAATTATGAAACTTTTAAAATTTATAGTAATAATAATATTATTATATAAATTTTATTTATACCAACCTAAAAATAGATTTCTAAAAATATAAAATAAAAAGTATATATATAAGCCAAAAAAAAATAAAAACCAATTTATATAATGTAAATAAATATCTATAAACTTTACTATTCTACAGCATTATTATTATCTATATCTGTTTATAACTTCTTTTTCTTATAAATTAAACTGTGTTATATGTTTTTATTTTTTTAATAACTTTGCAACTTTTAGTATTATTAGATAATTTTTTCTTTTTTTCTTCTATTTTATCTGTAAACTTGACTTCTGTATTACACTTTTAATATTTTCCAAATTTTTAATATTCTTATTTACATTTTTGCTTCTTTATATCTTAATAAATATAAATTATCTGAAAACTCTTTTATTAATATTTATTTATAAAATTATCTAATGATGCTTTAATATTAAAAATACTTTCTACATTTTTAATGTTCTGATAAGTAAACAAAAGTTTAATCATACAAACTTTATTGATGTTGTCTGATTTTTATTATTACTAATATTTATCTTAAAAATATCAATATTATAATTTTATTAGCATATACATAAAAATTATCTCTGATAATTTCCATTATGTTAACTACAAAAATAATTAATATTTTATAATTTAATAATATTTTTAATATAATCAAACTTTTATATATAATAAGAATAAATAATCTTAACAATAAACTTATAATTATAAATTATATAATCATTATCTCAAAAATGATATTTACATTATTTCAATTTTATTTAATATTTCTTGAAAAATGTTGACCAAAGAGATTTTTAAAAAATATTTGTTTAATAATAAAATCTTATTAAATATTTTTAAATGTGTAGATGATGAAACCATTATCTAAAAAAAATAGACATATAAATATAACTTTTTAAAAAAACTTATTAATCTATTTTATATAATGAATAAAAATACCTTTAATCTAACATCATTATTATATTTTTTAAGAACTATTTCCTTCCAACAGAATAGAATTCATTTTTCTCAAATATAGCTTGTGTATCTAGATCTCTTTCTTTATTATTAATTAGTATAAATAATACTAAATTACTAAAATAATCTTTATTACCAACAGGATATGTTTTGATAACCTATACTTAAATCAATTCTGCTTTTTCCTTTATATTTTATTTGCTAAACTTGGTTTTTACAATAGTGTTTGCAAAACAAGACATATTGATCATAAATTTATCAAAAATCTGCAATTAAAAAAAAATAAAACCAAAAATCATAAATCAGTAAATCAAAAAATTTAATAAAATTTGTGAAAATGATGTACTTTTCTTTTAAACATTCTTAGTATTTATAAATAAGTATAAAATATTGATTATATAATAATTAATATTATAAAATTTGTTTTGTTAGAGAAAATAATTAGCTACATGTGCTGCATAGTAACATATTTCAGCTAATCATTTGCCTAAACAGAACAAATTTTATAGTATTTAATATTGCATAATCCAATATTAATGTTATTATGCAAATATGATTATGATTTATAAGTTGTAATTGACTAACTAAGTTTTAATTTAGAATTATTATGCTTATGTGATAACATATAAAAAATAATAAGAAAATAAAATTTATTATTATATAAGTTGCATGATAAGTATAAATTATCAGACAAACTCATATAATTATAATACATCAACATATTGTTATTTTTTAATGCAAAATAATATAATACCAAATATTTATTATTTGTACAAATAGCATAATATTTGGGCCAATATTATTCAGCAAAAAACTAATATTTGAACCAAAATTATTCAAAATTATTATAATTTAAATGCCAATATTGTATATATAAAAAATTAAGCAATTAAAATTATTAATTATAATGTATTTTTAATATTTAAAAATTAAAAGTATAATGATTAAAAATATTTCTAATAAGAAATTTATAACAAATTCCTTATTTTTTAATCTTTAATATTTCTAACCTTTTCTTTTTGCTTATCATTTTTAATATTCTTAACTTTCATTTTTTGAACATCTTTGTCAAGAATATTCACATTATGTTTAGCCAATACATATTTAATTCATCAGAAGATATCTCAAAATTATCAAATGCATTAACTAATAATATTTAAGAATTAACTCTTTAAATATATATACTTACAAGTGCAAAATTACCAGTTACTGAGTCCACTTTTTGATGATTATTGAAAGTTTTACAATTATTAAGAGCAACATGATTACTAAAAATAATATAATTACTGGAAACAATATAATTACTAGAAATAACAAGATTATTAAAAATAATTTAATTACTAAGAATGTTATTTCCATATTTACTGTATAATGTGCAAGAACATATGCCTTAAAATCCCTACTCTGTAGGGTAAACTGGGATAGGGTTTGCATAACGTTCAATGATAGTACTATAATGTATCAAAAGAGGATGTTCGATTTGGCAGAGCCAAGTGTATGCTTTATTAAAGTGTATGCAAGAAGTGGGCGTTGTTGCCTTTTACATTAGAATAAATACTGCTATATATACTATTTACTAAATATGCCAAATGTTCTATATGTTCTAAATGTGCTGAATGTCCTGAATATCCCATATGTGCTGAATGTACTAAATATGCTACCTATAGTAATATGCCTATACAAACAAATATGCATTCGATCATCAATTTCGATCATAGTTTGATGATCTAATTTATGCTTATAACAACTGAGATCATTGTTTTTATAATTATTGAGAGTGTTTTTTTCATGATCATTAAAAACTTTATAAAAAAAAATTTTTTAATTAATAATGTTTTAAAAAATTTAACAAAAATTAAGTTATATACTTTTTGAAACTTGTTTTAATACATTAAAAAATCCACTTAAACCTTTATATTGCATTACAGATTTTGGCTGTTCATATATGACAAGACCTTTTTAAGACTAGTGGCTTGTGATCAACATCATAATCAAATCAAAATATCCAAACTTCATTAACAATTGCATATTGATTTTTCTTTCAAAATAATTTAAAATATTTAAAGTTTCTATTTGAATATCTGTAATTTTACATATGTTTTAAAAAATTCTCTTAACTTTTATTTACCAAAGGCATGTATATAATACTATTGTCCATTAAATTTGACTAGTAAACAAAAAATTAGTAAATATATATTTATAATAAAATTGTTTAACCAATGAAACAAAAAACTTTACTTGAGTCTAAAACTACAAGAATTAAATAAAAATTTGTAATTGTCATTATCAAACGCTTGATAAAATAAAACTTATAATTATTGATAATACTTTTAATATTAAGTAAACTGATTATTTCTGCTTACACATCATAATTTTTAAATCCTTATTAGTTGGTTTTAGATTTATAAAGCTTTACATCAATTATATTATTAAACCTTTTAATAAAACTATTGATTTAGAGAGAATAATATTCACCTTCACATAAGGCCAACAATATCATATTATAAAAAAAATTCCTTTGTAATAAGTTTTTAGAAGTATTATGTTACATCTTAGAGTAATCCAAAATTTACTCAACCTCATTTAATGTCAGATAATTAACCCTAGAACATTTTTCCAAGTCTTTTTTAAAGAAAGTCTTCAACTGTATATTAATTACTTGAAATACACCATTGAATTAAGTATATCCTTGGGTATTTTCATAATTGAATACAAGTTGAGGTGTTACCAAATTGCTGTTAAACAATTTCTTATAGAGGTAGCATGATATTTCTTACCATTCTTTCTCTTCATTGCATATATGAACTTGGAGAGTTGATCTTCTAATACTGTTTTATAATAAATTTCTTTGATCTTTCCTTCATATTCTATTTTATAATAAAACTCCTCCACAATCCTGATCAACATTTGTGTCACTTTATGAATGGTTTTGACCTTAGCATTTTTGCGAAATTCTTTAAGATCATTTACAGAAGGTTTCGTGTATTTAATACACTAATAAATCAACACATTAATATAGTTTTTATATATAAAAAGAAGACAAAAAAAAATTTATTTACCTTCATCTTGCTACCTTTCAATGTTGCTGGTTTTGTTTTGAGCATTATGGCTTTACTGGCTTTAATATTATGATTACAGATTTGCTGTTACGGATCAGACTTATTGTAAGCACAAAATTTCAACAAGACTTAGACTTCCAACA